TCATGATGTTAGAATTTAACTGCTAAAAGACAATCCAATTTAACTTATTGTTTCACCCATTTCTTTAATCTCATTACTATCAAGCTAGGATGCTGAATCAAACAACACTTTTATGCCATTTTCATCCATTTCTGTCCCAAAAAAGGTAACAGATAGCAGATTAAACGTTAGCCTATTCATGCTTCACATACTCAAATGTTGGTGGAAGATGATTTCTACTCTATATAAAACCCAAAATTACCTACCATCTTCACACAAAACCCGTCCTACAACCCAAACCTACTGTAAAACTTATCTAAGAAAAAGGGCATATCAAAACCAAATAAACGTGTTATTTCAAAAAAAAAAAAAAAGAAAAAAGAAAAACCAAATAAACGTGATTTGAACAGAGTATAAGGGGCCTAAACTTACAACATGAAATCCTATTAGTTGGGAGCCTTGTTACCCAAGTAACTCTTCAGCACATCCATCACTGCCCCAAAATCCGCGTTGACTTGCACTGGTGGATTAGCAAACTGGCAAGCCATGTCAGGAATAGCCTTTGAATGATAATCAATCTTTGACTGCGTGAATTTCAACCCATGAGCAGTGCTCACCACTACAGTTCTGTCCGTTGGCCCTATCACCCCGCTATTCCTCAGCTTAATCAGAGCCGTCAAAGCAACCCCGGTGTGTGGGCATATAAACATGCCTGTGGAATCTGCTCGTGCCATTGCGTCCATTAACTCCTCCTCCGTCGCTTCCTCAACAATCCCATCTGAATTTTTGAGAGCGTACACAGCTCTGTCAATGGAAACAGGGTCTCCGATCTGGATAGCAGAGGCAAACGTGGAATTAGCCTTCACTGGCTTAAAATCCTTCCATCCCGCCTTGTAATGTAGGTAAAGCGGATTAGCATTGGCTGCCTGAGCACAAACAAGCCTGGGAATACTATCAACAAGACCCAGTTCTTGGCACATTTTAAAACCTTTATAAAAAGCATATATGTTACCAAGATTACCACCCGGCACGATCACCCAATCAGGCACTTCCCAATCAAACTGCTGCAGTATCTCGATTGCAGCAGTCTTTTGTCCTTCCAGTCTTAAACTGTTTAAAGAATTAGCCAAATAGATAGGCAGCTCTGACGTTACTTCCCTTATCAACTTCATGCACCCATCAAAATCAGTATCTATGCTCAACACAAAAGCTCCATTTGCGATTGGCTGCACCAGTTGCGCGATTGATATCTTGTTCGCAGGCAAAAACACGATTGAGGGAATCCCAGCAGAAGCGCAGTAAGCGGATAACGCCGCCGATGTGTCGCCGGTGGAGGCGCAACCAACTCCAACGAGTGGTCGCTTCATTTTGCGCAAGCGGTTCACTTGGCTGACCAGAACGGTCATTCCCAGATCCTTGAAACTACCCGTATGGCTGATCCCACAGTGTTTTACCCACAAATCGTTCATGCCCAGAAACTGTTTGCCAAAACGCTCGGCCCAGAAAAGATTGGAATTCCCTTCGAAAGCACTGACAATGTCGTCGTCGTCGATCTCGGGTAGAACCCACTCCTTCTTCGACCATACTCCGGACCCGTAAGGCCACGTAGTTTTCCCTACGCGAGAGTCGAATAGCTCCCGCCAATACCCGCCGTCGAACTTCCTCAACGCATCCATGTCATGCTGGACGTCGAGCAGGCCGCCGGAGCGGCTGCGGTAGACGATCTCGTCGAGCGAATAGAACTCGGACGAATCAGGGCAGCGTTGAAGGGAACGTAGCGTGCGGAGAAAGGGTTGGAGGAGGAAGAGCGCTGTCGGCGCGCCTCATCGCGGATGTTCTCGTCAGATAGCGACGGGTTTGGAGAGGGGAAAGGGAAAGGAGAGCATTAT